GGAGGATGATTTTCGTTGGGCTTTCTTTGGTATTTATGGCCCTACTGAGGATAGTGTGCGTCATTTGCTTTGGGCGGAGTTGGGAGAGGTTCATAGGAGATGGTCTTTGCCTTGGTGTATTGGTGGGGATTTCAATGTTGTTTGTTCCCCGTTTGAGAGATCGTCAGGTGGTAGGTGGACGGTCAAGATGGAGTCTTTTCCGGAGTTCATTGATGTTTTTGGTTTGATTGATCTGCCTTTGGTGGGTGGGCCCTTCACTTGGTCTAGTGGTCGTTCTCCTCCTATCTTATCTAGACTTGACAGATTCCTGGTGTCGAGTGATTGGGAGGAGCACTTTTCGGATGTTATCCAGACCACTTTAGCTTGTCCTTTATCTGACCATGTTCCTTTGATGTTGGACTGTGGTGGGCTGCGCAGTAGAAGATCCCCTTTCAGGTTTGAGAATATGTGGCTTCGGGCTGAGGGTTTTCTAGATTGTGTCCGATCTTGGTGGGTGGGGTATGATGTTGCTGGCACCCCTAGTCATTCCCTTGCAGGTAAGTTGCGGCTTTTGAAGATTGACCTCAAAGTCTGGAACAAAGAGGTTTTCGGTAATCTTGCGTGGAGGAAGAATCGGGTTTTCTTTGAGCTTGCAGACATTGATAGATTGGAGGGTCAAGGATCTTTGACAGATTCCTTGAAGCTTAGGAGGATGGAGTGTCAGGCGGAGTTTGCTGAGATTGCGGTCATGGAGGAAATTTCTTGGAGGCAAAAGTCTAGAGCTTTGTGGCTCAAGGAAGGTGACAACAACACGAAATTTTTTCATAGACTTGCCAATGCTCACAAAAGAGGCAATCATATTGGGAGGATTCGGGTGGATGGGGAGATGTTTTGCAAGGAAGAAGAGATTTTTAAGGGTTTTGCTGATTACTTTTCAGTTTTGTTCTCTGAACCAGTTGGGTGGAGACCTTTACTGGCTGGGCTTCATTTTTGACTTTATTTCGGGTGAGGAATGTTCTTTTCTGGAGGTACCTTTCTCTGAAGAGGAAGTTTTGTCTGCTTTGAAGAGCTGTAACGGGGATAAAGCCCCTGGTCCAGATGGCTTTTCTTTGCGTTTTCTTTTGGAGTGTTGGGAAGTGGTCCGAGACGATGTGATGGGCTCTTTTCATGCTTTCCATGCTCATGGCTCTTTTGAAAAGAGCTTGAATGCCACTTTCATTGCCCTTATTCCGAAAAAGGGAGGAGTGCTGGATGTTAGGGATTTTCGTCCTATTAGTTTGGTGGGTTGTTTTTACAAGTTGCTTGCCAAAGTCTTAGCCTGTAGGCTGAGGAAGGTTCTGGATGGCATCATCTCTGATTCTCAGAATGCTTTTGTGGGAGGTCGTCAGATTTTGGATTCTGTTCTTATTGCTAGTTAATGTGTGGACTCCAGGTTGAGTAGTGGGGTTCCGGGTGTTTTGTGTAAGTTGGACATTGAGAAGGCTTACGACCATGTGAGTTGAAGTTTCCTCATCTACTTGATGGAGAGGATGGGGTTCGGGGAGCGATGGAGGAGATGGATTCTTTTTTGTATATCTAGTGCGCGCTTTTCTGTCCTTGTGAATGGAGCTCCGATGGGGTTTTTCTCTAGTTCGAGGGGCTTGAGACAGGAGGATCCGCTTTCTCCTTTCCTTTTTCTTTTTGTGATGGAGGCTCTTAGTAGGTTGTTGAAAAAGGCTGTTGATCTGGGATTGTTGAGAGGCTTTCGGGTGGGTAGAGGTGTTGCTAGTCAGTTGGAGATTTCTCACTTGATGTTTGCAGATGATACCTTGGTTCTTTGTGATGTTGATGCGTCCCAGCTGAGACATTTGAGATGCGTTTTGATTTGGTTCCAAGTTGTCTCTGGGCTTAAAGTGAATGTTGGAAAGAGTGTTTTAGTGCCGGTTGGGGATGTTCCTGATATTGAGATGTTTGCTCAGATTCTCGGATGTGGCATTACCTCGCTTCCTATTTCTTATTTAGGTTTGCCTTTGGGTGCTCCTTCGAGATGTGTGGGGAGTTGGGATCCGGTGGTGGATAGATTCGAGAAGAGGCTGGCAGGTTGGAAGAAGCAGTACCTTTCCAAAGGGGGGGCGGGTCACTCTGATCAAGAGCACTCTCTCTTGCCTACCCACCTATTTTATCTCCCTTTTTCAGATTCCTTCTTCGGTGGCGGAGAGAATTGAGAGTTTGCAGCGGAATTTTCTTTGGGGAGGGAGAGAAGAGGAGTTCAAATATCATCTAGTTTGATGGGAGCAAGTGTGCCGTCCTCTTCGGAGTGGAGGTTTAGGGATTAGAAGGTTGTTGCCTTTCAATAGGGCTCTTCTTGGGAAATGGCTTTGGAGATTTGGGGTTGAGAGGCTTTGGCTTTGGCTTTGGAGGAAAGTTATTGCCAGCAAGTTTGGGGAAATCAGTGGTGGGTGGTGTTCTCTTGGGGTGCGTGGTCCTATGGGTGTGGGGGTTTGGAGTTGCATTCGAAAGGGATGGGATGTTTTTCGTAATCATGTTTGCTTTAGGATCAGGGATGGTAGGAGGATTAGATTTTGGGAGGACCTTTGGTGTGGGGAACTTCCCCTTGCTCTTTCTTTCCCTCGGCTTTATAGGATTGCTTCTGACAGGCAGGCCTTGGTGGTTGACTGTTATCACCTTGATAACGGAAGACTAACTTGGGACGTTATGTTTAGGAGGCGTTTTCAGGATTGGGAAATTGAGGAGGTCACTCGTTTTTTGGAGTTACTGTATCGTCAGGTGATCTCTCATGAGGAGGCTGATTGTTGGCTTTGGAGTCCACGCTCTCAGGGTCGATTCGAGGTGAGATCCTTTTTCAGGTGCCTTTCTGATGGGAAGGGTGGCACTTTCCCTTGGAAGGCTATTTAGCGTTCCAAGGCTCCCCTTAAGGTGGCCTTTTTCGCTTGGACGTTTGTCTTGGGTAGGATTTTAACCCAGGATAATTTGAGGAGGAGAATGCAGGTGGTTATCAATCGCTGTTATGTGTGTTGTCGCGATGAGGAGACAGTGGATCACCTTCTGTTGCATTGTAGTATGGCCAGAGATTGTTGGGATATGATGATTGGGTTATTTGGGGTCCCATGGGTTATGCCCTGTTCCTCTAGAGGGTTGATTGAGGCTTGGAGAGGTTTCTCTGTTGGGGTGCTCATCCGGGATGCTTGGAGGGCTACCCCTCTCTGTGTTTGGTAGTGCATTTGGCTCGAGAGGAATCGGAGATACTTCGATGGCATGGAGAAACCCATTTCTAGGCTTAAGTTCTCTATTATCTCTACTCTCTTTTGTTGGGTCTCAGGGAGAGATTATCGTTTTGTTGAGGAGATTGTTATTTTTTTGGTCTCTTTGAAGGCTTGAGGCATTTTGAGGTCTTTTTTTATCATCTTGTTTCCATGGGTTTCGCTCCCCTTTGAGCGCTTTTTATAAAATTCTTACTTATAAAAAAAAAAAAAAGAAAAAAAGAAGTGTATAACGATAACTTATAAAAAAATGTATATAATGATAAGTTTATTTATTTTTTCTTGTATAACGATAAGTTGACAGATCTGTCATTTTGTGTATGCCATGATGAGGGGGTCATTTACATTGAGTATGGATTATAGTGTCATTACACCCATGTGAATGGTAAAATTGGTATTATGAAATTTTTTTTTTTGGTTAAAATATTCTGAAATTTTCATTTCCTGATATGGCAAGATTTTATGTTGACCTTTAACAAGGGGAATCCGTTATCAAAATGTAAACCTCAGTGGAGCGCATTGTAACTTACGAAAATATAGGAGTCAGTGAGTCATTGCTATATTTACCTGAAAAAAAAAAAAAATATATATATATATATATATAGGAGTCACTGCTGTATTTTCACTTAACTATAGTGAAGTTCAGTCAAAATTTTCCAATATTTTTATGCATCCAACCAAGACATTTCAAATTTTATAGCCTAGTTCGACTTATTAAAAAAAAAAAAATACTGTACCCTAGTTCATCATATTGACTTACCAAAAAAAAAAATACATATTTTGACTATTGGAACATAATTGAATTTCAGTACTTTCACCTATCTAATTGGTTGTGTAGTTAAAAAATTTCTAGGCAACACATTGAGACAGAAATTGCAAACCAACTTGATGATTTAAGTCCCTTTTACATTTTATTGTATTTAAGTCAACTAATAAATTGAGTAAAAATATACAAGAGATATAAGATGGTCAAGATGCTCACATAAAGCACTACTAGGTTGTTTTTGGCTGGCAACAGCTTAAATTGAATTCTAAATATCTGATATTATTGTGAATGTTTTGATAGCTGTTATGAAACGCTGAAGATGAACCTTATTTGGTTCAGTTGTCTGAGAACAGTTTTAGAAAACAATACAAAATGTTGTTTGGTTGACAGTTCTGAAAGGTTTGTTTTCAGAGACCATCCTTTTATTGTTCTCTGAAAACTGGAATCTGTTTTATGAGTTCTTGAGAACTGTTTTCAGAAACTGAACCAAAATGGCGTAGTTCTCTTTGTTAATCTCTGCAATTGTCTTTTATGACTTAAATGTTTGACCCGTTCATATGATGTTTGAAACAAGAGAAACTAATGTTGGAATAAGAATTTTTGTTCTCACAAAAACATTCCAGTTGCCAACTTATTTATATTCATGTTTTGGCTAAGAAATCTTATTGTTATTGAATAGGTATATTTAAGACATTGTTTTGAATTGTTTCATTATGCTACTCCTTCACTTTTCTACCACTTATCTACCCATTAGTTGGTGATCACAATACATCTTAGTTTCTTCTGATACTAGAAAGAAATTTTCTGTTACATTTTTTATTTACTTATTGTATGTATTGGATTGTCAATTTTGGATGAGACCCTGCTTCTATAGAGAGGCATTTGGCAGTAGAGATTTGATACGTTATACATTATAATTTTTTTGTTATTTTGAGGCGATTATGAAAAAAAACTATTTTTCATTGTCAACTTATGGCGAACAATGTATTCTGCAGAATTATGTGGTGTTCAGCATGGAAGAATGGTTTTGAGTCCAAGGAAAGTGATGCTTGCGATGGATCATTATCTATCTAATTTCAATCTGACAAGCCAACAGGTAGAAATCTTTGTGATTGAACTTTTGAAAATTTTCAAAATTATGATATGCTGCTTGATTTATTGTGGCTGCTTGTAGGATGCAGAAGAAGCATTCCTTCATCTTTTGTCCTCTTTAAGAGAGGAATTTTTTGAATGCTATGTTCCAAATCACTGTTCTCTAGCAGATGTGACTGCCTTCTCTAGTCGTAGGATATTTACTCTCGAGAGGGGATTGGATCAAAGTGAGCATAAAAGATGGAAACAACATTTTCTCGGACCCTTTGACGGGATTATTTGCAGCACCTTAACATGTCAAAGCTGTTCATATCAGGTTGAATTTATTTCATAAGAGCAGTTCTTGCTTATCCAAATTCCTATTTATCTTGTTTTTTTTTTTTTTTTTTTTTCCTTTAAGCATCTACAAACAAATCCATGCTACATTATTCTGTTATCTAGAAGCATGATAAAATAATTTCAATCTGATCAGTGTTACTTGGAAAAGAACACAGAAGTAAATCCTTCAATTTGATTTGTCACATTTGATTTACACTAAACCTGTTTGGGAATGTAATATCCTATTCTATACAATCATACGATAGGTTGCCTTTTGGAAAGAAGGAAAAAACGTTTCCTCGGGCCCTTTGGGGGGATTCTTTGCAGCACCTTAACATGTCAAAGCTGTTCATATCAGGTTGAATTTTTCTTATAAGAGAATTTCTTGCTTATCTGAATTTCTCTTATCTTCTTCTTTTTCTTCTTCTTCTTCTTTTACATTTAAGCATATGCAAACAAATCCATGCTACATGAAGTGTACATTCACCAGAATTCTGTTATCTAGAAGTATGATGAAATAATTTCATTTTGATCAAATTTACTATGAAAGAACACAGAAGTAAACCCTTCAATTTGATTTATCACATTTAATTTATATAAACCTTTTTGGGAATGTAATATTCTGTGCTATTCAATTATATAACAGGTTGCCTTTGTGGGAAATTGGGAATTGTATAGTGATGGATTATTTTATTTTATTTTTTTTCATTTGCATCTTGTCGCGTTCTTCTTCTCCTAGCTCATGATTATTGTTATAAGATGGTGTTATTTGATTCACGTATCTTTTGTTCAATTGCAGATTTCCTCCGATTTTGAATTTTTTCATAGCTTGCTTCTTTCACCAGCTCTCAGTAATGGTGCTTCCATGGTATGTTTAAATAAAATTGTCATTTTTGTAGGTTTAAATAATTTATTTGGCTAGTTCGTGTTAATACTCTGATGGCAAAAGTGCTTTTTTTTTTTTTTTTTTTGTCTTCTATTTCTTCAAATAATCCTAGATGGCTGCGTGCACCTTGGAGTATTGCCTAAAGCAGTTCATAGTTGCGGAAAAAGTTGAGCATTATCGCTGCAGCCGTTGTTGGCATATTGCTGCAATAAAATATTTATCTTTAAGAGACATAAATGAGGTATAAGTTCTATTATAAAAAGCCATTTTTACGCCTCTCTTAATTTAGCCTACTCACCAGATCAATTGAAGAGCACAAATGTCTCGTGTTTGACACATATTTTAATGTTTTTCATCCTTCTGATCCTTGCACACACACACACACACACACACACACTATCTATATCCTTACTCTGATTTCACCAAGTATCATCCTTTTGAGTTTTTTATTTTTTAATTCTAACTACTTTCATGAGCTTTATATTGTTTTTATGTTTTCTTTTTGCCCCTTTCTGTCAGACAGATATTGAGAAACTAAGGTGCTGTAGCAAGGAAGATCCTTGTGCCTGTAAACATTTATTTGGTCTTGAAGCACTACCTTGGTCAAATAGTTTTTCACATGTTTTGAAGCAACTAAGCATTGCGCATTCTCCAAAGGTATCAACTCCGAATGTTTTATTGTATGATGACACCTAAGGTACTTTTTAGGGGTCACCCAGACCCTGCAGTCATACGTGATATGTAGGCTGGATATGTTATGCCAATAGGGTGTATTAGGTATGGAAAAGTTAAAGAGCACAGTCAAGAATTGAGTTCTCTCAGATGCAAATATGAAATCCTGTCCTCAAAATTTATAGAGGTGTCTGTCTACTGACGTGGATTTGAATTTTGTAATTCTTTCTGGCTTCTGAGGCCTTTTCCGGTCAAGCTATCTCTGTGTAACACTGTTGGGAACAAGCACACTTGTCTGGTGCCTGCATTCCACCCCTGTTTGCAATCTAGGTGGTATACTTCTTGAAACAAACATTCTTAAGTGCCATCTGTGTTTTCTTTTATAGTATTGGGCACTTTGCTGTTTGTTCTTAACTCAAATATGTGCACTTTCTTAGTCTAACAGCATGTAAAGTGTTGTTTAATCTCCAAGCACACCCATCTGTCTCTTTGTTTGCTTGCAGGTTCTATGCATTCATCTACAACGTGCTTCAATGGATGGATTTGGAGAACTAGTCAAACTTCAGGTACATTTTTTCTTTTTTGTGTATTGATTGTGATAAGCCATATTGTTAGATTAATAAATATTAAAATATTTGATTTCCCATACAACTTCATGTTGGTCTGCCCAGGAAAGGGAACTGTGTAAAAAAATTTAATTCTTCAGAATTTATGTTGTTGTGTGTCCACTGTCTCTACATATTGGAATCTGTCGCCTTTTTTTTTTTTCTGAAAATGTGTTCAGGATGAGGTGCAACAATCTGTGTAAATTTGATTTCTGAAAGTTTTTGCAATGATGTTTTAGTCAATGCTGTTGCTAACTGCTATTTTGGCTGATTAAAGGGCCATATATCCTTTCCTTTGATTTTGGACCTGACCCCATTCATGAACGGTGGGGTGGGAATAAAGAACTGGGAGAACAATTTTCAAAGAGGACAAATGAAGCAGCGATATCAACAATATTTTCCGTACACCAACCGTTTTAATATGCAATCTGACACAAGTATGCTGAATTGCATTTATGAGCAAAAGGGTCAAAACATCTCTTTGGGAGCAACAGATGTAGAGGAATGGAGACGCATAGCGAACCCCTTGGGTAACACCTGCCCGCAATCGTCTCAAGAAGAATCAAAATTGTTCCAGACTGAAGGCTGCTCAAACCCCACTCTTAATCATATGGATGTGCAATCTGAGGACAAGGTTGGTGGAGTACTTGCTTGTATGAAATTATTTGGTTGGATATGCATCCATCTCTTCACATATTTCCAAATTCAGTTCTTTTTTTTTTTTTTCCCCCTTCTTTTTTGACAAGAATCAGAAATATCACTAATGTAAAGATTGTGCAAGGTAGAAGGACAACTTAAAACTGTGTTTGCCCCACAAACTTCAAAATTCAAACCATTCAAAAGTTTAGAGGTCATTAAGTACAAATACAAATTATTTAAATATATTTACCAAAGGATCAAGCCCACTTAACTTTAATCTACCACAGGGTTGCTTGAGTGCCCTTTTTTGACCTTTTAGAATTCAGAAATTCACAATTTATAGTTCATACACTTAAAATTTATGAAATCAAATTCCGTAGAAGCTAAAATATTCATAATATTAAGAAAAATATTTAACTATACAAAACAAGTTGTTTCATAAATTATTAGAATTTCCAATGTCTCCTGTTTGCTATGAGGGTGCTAATGGAATTAAATTACTGGTCCAGTTATTGCAGTTTTTTATTTTTATTTTTATTTTTTATTTTTTTAACCTCTGATCTTGTATTGGGGTTCATATTTTTGGATATTAGATTTTCAAATCTAAAAATTTTTATCTTCGATTTTTTTCACAGCACAATAAAGAAGTCCTTCAGTTTCTTCTGATATCTTCTAACTATATATGCCTCATAATTTTCCAATATCATTAAGTCCCTTCAAATTATTTTAGAAGCTGAGTTCATAACAGCAGGACATGCAATTTTTGCATTTCACTAAAAAATAAACATAAACTTTATGATATTTTAGTGAATAATATTTCAATATCTTGTCTAGATGTTTCAACTTATATCACCTTGAAATTAACGGATATAATCTAGCCAATAATTATAAACTAAGAATCATCAATTCCTATTTCTAATAAATATCTTAAAAATTAGACAGGGAATAACATCCAGAATAAATTTATTACATAGATAACAAAAATATTATGGTGTTCAACATTCTAAACCCTATACTATAAATGATATGGAACTGTCTTCTTTACGACCTGCTAGTTGCTCCACCATCTCTTCGCTCTTCTTATCTAATTAATCTGAAAAAGATCTTATGCTGGGAGTGAGCTTGATTGATGGCCCAGTAAAATCATTTATTTCAACATTCATAGAAGTTTTTACGTGAGAAAAAAATAGAAAAAAGAAATAAAACAGGTGGTACACTGTTCAGGTAGTAGGACTCGGCCATTCATTCATACTAGTCATTTTTGTCCATCAAACCAGCCTGTTGTGCATAACAGGTGGTAGGCCATTCAACCTTTTACCATAATTCAAACCTCTGTCATCATGAATCCCATCCCATACCCACAAGCAAAAGGTCTTGGTTTTTCGCAAATTGTATGTTTCCAAGTTCAAAACTATACTATTATGTGGAGATAAATATAAATATACAAAGAGAGAGTTTGTTGGGAAGGAAAATAAAAGTGAATTATTTTTTGAAAAGAAGAGAGGTGCGAGAAAGAGAGAAAGGCAAAGAGACGTTGTAGAGAGAAAGAGGAAAGGAAAGGATAATAAATAAATAAAATAAAAAAAAGCAAAAGAAAAGTGATCTTGATTGGATTTAATGGTTCTCAAATAAAAATTGAATGGCTGTACACAGTGTCCTATTAAAATTCATAACAAATAATTATTTTGAACCTATATTCCTATACTGTTTTATCACGACAGTAAATGTGAATTGAATGTTGGGATGGATGATTATTTTGTTGGGCTATCAAGTTTTTGCTTTCATTAATGTTCTTTCACGTTTTTGCTCTTCTGATCCATGATTCATTAATGTTTATGATCTGTTTTTTGCGCGCGAGTCTTGGACCCTGTTTAGGGCTCTCTTATAGCCTAGTATATAAGGGCATTTAGGGTTTGGAGTGGGTAACGAGAGAACATTGAAAATTGTAGGAAAGAGAGTGAGAGAGAGAGAGAGAGCTAGGGTTTGGGGGCTAAAATTTGGAATCTCCTGTTGTGTGTGGCGTGTTTATTTTTCTGTCGTGATTCTTGTTTTGTTCTTGGTTCGATGCATTTGTCGTAACAATGTTCAACATAAAATAATCTACACAGATGGAACTCTTGTGATCAGATTTATGGGTTAGAAATGCTTAGCATCAGAATCCTATCATCTATCTGTTGTTCTCCTGGCAAATGGCTCCTCCTGAAGTTCCTCCAATGTTCGCCTCATGCTTTTATAAAAAATTTGTAATTTGACACATTTTCAGTTTCTTCATAAACTTAGACCAAAACATAAAAGCATTTTACTGAAGCAGTCATACATCTATATAATATGCATGTATATATATGTATGTATATTGGATAGGAGATGCGATGACTGGATATATGAGTACCACAGTGGCTCCATGAATTCTCATTTAATCTTGTGATCTGCAACCACCACTGTGTGTATATGTATTCCTTATTGTAAGTGAGATGATTTTCTAATGGTATAAAACTCAAGCTAACTACATATTATGTCTTCGAGCTGTCACTGTGCTTTGGATATGCTTCATACTCTAAAGTTGTGGACAGCTGTAATCGTAATCATTTATGCGTGTTAGTTTGTGAGGTTTTTATTTATTTATTTATTTTGAATGACATTTACTGACTGAGGTTGAACTGCATGATTCTTGTATATCTCCTTGTCAGCTGGGCGGTGGGACATGTCATTTAGTACCTGCAGATTTTCATTTGTACCGCCTCGTTTCTGTTGTGGAGCACTTTGGAAAAGCTGGAAGTGGTCATTACATAGTTTATAGAAGAGCGAGAGCCAAGTCAGGCGACGAAGACCCTAATGGACAGTTGAAGCATGACCCTGTATCTTGGTTCAGTATTTCAGATTCTGAAGTTTTTCGTGTTTCAGAGAGAGATGTTCTTTCTGCAGAGGCTAGCTTGCTCTTCTATGAGAAAATTGTAGAATGCTGAGAATCGTACCTACTATAGTTGGAGATTTTTGACATTCAGAATTCATAAAGCGTTCAGAAGCTGCTGCTGCTGCTGCAGTTAAGCTATTTGCTGACTTCTTGACTGCTGATCTTAAGGCGGCTGTATGTAACCAGGGGAAATACCGGGAAGGCATTTGGTGGTTTGAGGGGGCCTGAAAATATGGAAACATAGTAAGCAATTTTTTAGCTTAAATTAACAGACGACGAAAATTACATTGTGCATCAAAGCTGTCTGTTGTAAATTAAAAACGGATCTCGTGAGACTTGAATATAGGACACTCTTGACAACAAATTGATTGGAGAATTTGGAATATTTTTTTGCATGGAGGATTAAAGGGGCCTTTTGAAGCTCTGTCTTTGTTCTAGAGATCTTTCGTACAGCAATGCTATTTGTGTGTTTGTTACCCTTTTCGGGTGTTTTTTGTTTTTAGGTAACAGGGGTATCTGGGGGCCTGGGGCTTTGTCCAGACTAAATCCCCAGGACACCGTGCAAAGCATCCCTCCACACGAGTCAGATAAAGTTCGGACTTTCACTATGGGATGTGGCTCATAAGGAATTGTTTGCGCTTAAGAGGACTTGAACTTTAGACCTAGTGCTATTATCTGCGTTTTAGTGTTGTTTGATTTCCTTTTTATTACTGCTCACATGTTCCTGGCGGCGGCTGCTCTTAAAAATTTACCTGAATGTTCCATGTCTACAACGTTACACCCTGCATCTCCAATTTTGCTTATAAAACGAGCAATAGAAGTCCACCTGTTCTCTCTATCTGATTCTCAACATGATTCTCATCTTCTGTTGAGTCCTCGCTGTAGTTGGAGCTGCGAACACGGGCAGTATTTATCATGCTCCATACTTGCTTCACAAAATCCACAACAGTGATAGTACTGTTTTTCGACAACAGCACAAGGATCCAACTCTTTATTATAGAAATATGTAAATCATTCCTTCCTTTAAATATGTACCAACATGTGAATGCTGTTAAAGCCATTAATCTTTCCTGTTCATCCTCATTTTCCCATCTGATATATAACTTCTCCCACCACTTTATCCAAGAAAGCCTAAGATTATCGCGAAATATTAAAGCCAAAATACTTGAAAAAATGAGTACAAGTTTATTCAATTAGATAGGGTATGGTTCTACTTTCTAGTATAGCTTTACGATTCTATAGATATAGCTTGAAGAAAAATTTTAAATTTTAAAAATACCTGTGATACACGAAGATGCTATAAGTGATTGAATTGAAGCCATAATTTTACAAGAAAGGCCACGATTAGATGATATGTTTCATGAATATAATTAAAATGGATACAAACATGAGCACTGACCTTTCGATGAAAAAGTAGCAAATAAGATTATAATCAAATGTTGACTTATTATAGTAACGCTGATTTAAAAAAATAAAAAATAAAATAATAATAATAATAAATAAATTCACACAACACCTTATTATAGTAAACGTATCGGCTCCCTCATAGGTATGGTACCCTTATTCCAGACCTTGGTGCTAGTAAGCACCCAAACCCAGGTAATTTTACCACTAAGCTAACCCCTTGGGGTTAAATTACTACACCCTTGCTTAGACCTGTCAATGAATTTGGTTCGATTATCCAGATATGGATTGGAAAAAAAAAAAAAAATCCAATAATAATTCGAATCTGATAATCTCTTACCTTAACAAATCGGATATGGATTATATGTAATCTCGTCCGATAATGATCTGATCCGATTAAAATTATACACACACACACACACACACACACACACACACATATATATATATATATTACTACATTACAATATACTGTATATAAATGTTATATATATTAGTTATCTACTATTAAATTTATATATATATATATATATATATATATATATATATATATATATTAATTATTTACCATTATATTCATTTGGTTGCATAGTTATATTATGCAATATCATATATTTTAATTATTCTTCTTCACCATTCCATCTAACCTCAGCCAATATGATTGTAATCCGAATCCAATCTGATCCAAATTTCGAGCTAAATAGGAGATGGATTGAAATATTCAATTCGATAACCCGTTAGGTTGGATTTGATTGATCCGATCCATTAACATACCTATCGGGCCTTGCTCCTTCTGAGTAAGGTTGGGTTCAACGTGCTTGCTATGGGCCGATATAGTTTCCTATTTGGTAACTTCTTGTTAGACAAGGTGTGGGAATATGTGTTCAACAAGAAATAGGCTGAAGACGACTTTATAAATGGACGTAAGATTGAGTGGAGAAGGTAGAGAAGAAAAAAATGATTTGAGTGAGTGAGTGAGTGAGAAGAGGGGAGAGTGATGAAGTTAGTTGTTAGTGGTTGCATTATCTACAGTTGTACTATATTCACAATAGTAAAGTTCTTCTCTTCGTGAATGTAGTCCTAGAGGTTTGGGTGAACCACGTTAAATATTATGTTTTGCTTGATTGGTGTATGATTGTATCTCCGTGTATGTCTGACTGATGCTCATGTGATGATATGTTTCTGTTGTGCTTGAATGAAGGGAGATATAACTCTAAAAACTGGTATCAAAGCTAGTTGAAAGGAATTAATATTTTTGACACCTGATATCAGAGTTGATGGTTTATCTTGGGAAGTTCAGCCTTCATCAGAGCTGAAGGTTGGTCATGGGAAATTTGTTAAAGTGGAAGATTGATGGTGAGATGTCATGGAGATTCCATCAAAGGACATGATGGTGTGAAGGTATGAAGATGGTGATGAAGGGCGTTACTCACTTAAAGAAGAGCAGGTAGATTGGAGAACTCAGGTGAAGGACCTTCAGTCAAGTAGAAGAAAATAAACATTGCTCTCCCAAAAACGAGCATATAGATTGAAGCACACCTTTAAGTTGGCTAGACTCTGTTTTTCATGCACTTAAGGTAGTTCGATCGATCACAAGGTTGCTTGGATCGATCAAACTATGGCAGTTCTTTTTTAGATAATGACAAGGCTGAGATATTTTTGGGAAAAGGATAAAAGTGGTAGGTGGAGATAAGATAAAAAATGTTCGATCGATCGAAGGAAAGGTTAGATAGATCGAAAGGGAAATTTTCCTGCGGATGAGGACAAAAGGCTCGATCCATTATAACATGGTTGGAACGATCACAGTGTGATTGATCGGAGCTTGGTTCGATCGATCAAAGAGGGCTTCTTCACCACTTTGCTTCCACTTTGCTTCTTTCTTCCACTAAGCTTGAGATTGCTTCTTTAAATGCTCTAATTCAGCTGAATTGACTTATTTTGGGGATAAGTGCCTGAAAAGGGACATAACATGAAATTAGAGTAAAACGGGAAAATAAGATAAAATAAGGTCTTAGAACATTCAAGCTTAAGGGGTTTAAATGTGCACTTTTCAGCGCTTATCGTGCAGTCTAGTGGTACTTTCTTGTCTTTTAAATTAGAAGGTTGAGGGTTCAAATTCCTATAGAGGCAAAGTGAATGTATGAATGCATTTTTTGTCAGTGAAAAAAAAAAAAAAAAAACCTACTTCAAAATAGCCCCGTTTAATTTTAAGTTGTTAGGAATATTAACTTCCCTCCAACTAGTTGTTGGGAATTAAATTTCCTTTCATTCAAGTACATCGGAAGCATATCATCACATAACCATCGATCATGCATTTATGGAGATACAATCATACACAAATCAAGCACGACACAATATTTAATGTTGTTCACCTAATCCTCAAAGACTACGTCCATGGATAGAAGAACTTCGCAATAATGAATTAAGAAGATGATAATACAATTATAGAGAATGCAACCACTCACAACTTACTTCATGAGGTGGAGACATTCTCTTTCTCTCTTTACTACTCACTCTGGCTACCTCTATGTCTCTCTACCCTTGCACTTACCCCCCCCCCCCCTGCGCCCCCCTTACTCAAACCTTTTTTTCCTTCTTTACTCAATCATACCTCTATTTTTAGAGTCTTCAACCGATTCCTTGTTAAACAAGGATTCACATACCTTCTTGTCTAACAAGAAGTTACCAGATGGATTATAGCTCTAAAATAGACGTTTGATGAGGCACAACTTCCTCCACAAGTCTTCAGCCTTGCTCCACAAGTCTTTAGTCCATGGGAAAGAATGTCTTCTAATCAATGAAGTAAATCCCATAACTCATCAGACAAAAACGACCAGTCTAAAGTTTAACTGGTCGGACTTCTTCAGCATTCAAAAATCTTCAAGAATCTGATACATAAACCCAATAATCTCCATCTTGGCTCAAATTCCATCACCAGACGCTCTTCCATAGCTCCACCTCGACTAACCAATCGTTTGTTCTTCTCCCATCTTATTCCTTTCTTTCTTCATCCCTTTTCTTTCCTTCATCCCAAACTCTTACCATTAATGTTCAATTACCCACTCATGGTAACCCAAGAAATTCAACGAGGCTATACTAACCAGCTTCATCCACTCAGTTAACTCTATCTTCTATCAACTCCATTAATACTAGCTTTTTAGGGCTAAAAGCACGAACCCCTTCATCCTCACAATATTTTATCTCAACTAAATTCATCAATGGAGGAACATAATGAGGATCATGTGGAGGACCTTGGTCACTGTAATGACTCGGTCATTTTCTTTCCTTTCCTTTTTCTCAAATTTTCACGGATATTTTTTTTCCGTTGATCTTTTCCCTTTTGAGTTCAATTTCTCATCACTTAGTGTCGTCTCGGGTGCTCTGAAATGATTTCCGAGACTCTTTTATTTGGATTGACAACTTCCTTTGAGGACCGCGTCATTTTCACATTTTCATTTTTTCGGCACTATTCACTTTTCGTCCTTTTCCCTATTTTGTCTTTTCCTCGTTTGTCACTTTGTTGTCATAACCTCACTTTTTGTGTTCGGAGTTGGTTTTTGACTTCACGTATCTTCATTCTAAGTGGTTTCCATGAAACACGTATATTTACTTTTGTAGCAAAGTACTCTAGTTGCTCTCGGTGTCCATAGGGGCATAGATGCATAGTTTTTCAGAATATTTTTCTTTTCTTGGGGTGTTTTCGTAAATATCTTTTGAAGATATTTTATTTTAGGGGTTTTTAAGAAAATATTTTTGGAAGATATTTTCATTCTGGGTCATTAGTGCAGTTTCACTTTTTGGAGGGGCCATTGTGCAATTAAGGAAAGTTATTGCAAATATGCCTCGTTTTGATCCTGGATCCTTGTACGGGATTCATTTTCACTTTTTCTCGAGTCGTGTACTCTTAGAATTTCCTTCTGGTCGTTTTCCCCCAGTTTCAAGATTTTTGACCCCGATTGCCGCCAAACTTGTTCGGGGCATATCTCTCTGCTCGGAACTCAATTTTTGATGCCATTTCTTCTGTTGTTCATAT